TGTATAAATAATTGTATTGAATTGAATAGAAATGTCCTCCAAAGAGGTGCTTTTTACTTTCAGTACATTTCTGAGCCTGTACTTTTTTACTTTTACTTGAGTAAAAGTTGAATCAGTACTTCGACTTTACTGGAGTATTTTTCAACACTAGTATCTGTACTTCTACTTGAGTACAGAATGTCTGTACTGTTGGCACCTCTGAACTTGGCAGAATAAACCTGTTTTCATCTACAAACAATGTCACCAAAACCTGTCACAGCCACCATACTGTCCTTCTACTGCTGCCACCACTGGTGTAAGCTACATTTTCAGAAGAGTAGTTTTAGTTTTAGAAAGGTGAGAAATAAAATGTGCATGTTACTCTACTCTGAACAGTGTTTTCAGCTTTATTTTTATTATGTGGCTATTTTAGGAGACTCGACCTGCTGTTATTGACCTCTGGATTTCTGAAGCATTCAAATAACAAGTCACACGAACATGCTAATGCGACCTTCATCTCTGTACCTGACGAAGGTCACACAGACCAAAATGCTATAATATAAATAAGGACAGTGGAAGGACAGCGAGTGAAAGAAAGCATTGAGTTTCCAGCTAATCTAAGCTTCACGCTAGCTCCATAATCAGCATAGTAATGACCTGTCCATCGTTTCATTTTGTAAACATCATGCACAGCATTTAGAAAGCTGCTCACTTCTTGATGGACCCACACCTTCCACCATTTTAGTGTTAAACTGTTATTACTGGTAAATCACTCGCACTGAGTTTGTTACAATAAAAGTCCTGCTAGTGACAGCTTAGAGTAGGTTTACTTTTGGTTTTTCTAACGTTCCTAATACAAAGATCCTTCTTTTTGCTATATAGATCCCTGGTGTTGGTCATGCCATAACATGTTCCTCCAGAGGGCGTACATGCCAACCCTCCCGATTTTTGCAGGAGAATCCCGAATTTCAGTGCCCCTCCCGAAAATCTCCCGGAGCCACCATTACTCTTGTTACTCTTTCTGGGTCGCAAAATAAACTGTTAACATATTTTCAGGCGAGAATGTAGCTGAGTAAACTTCAAATAACTTAAACATGTTATTGTTTGGCCTTTTTCAGTGTTTTATTTGTTCGTGAGGAAATCGGTTTGGCTGAGATTAAAGTTATTAGATTAGATTAAATAAAAACTTTATTAATCCCTCGGGAGGGTTCCTCCGGGATTTTCACACAGCTGACTAAACGTCAAACAGAAAACTGATTAAACAGAAGTGTGAGATGGTCGAGAATCTACGTCAGCGGCTGATTATATTTTAGACAGCAAGGAGCAGACGGCTGAGTTTCACTCCACTGAGAGAGCTCATGACTTAATTCTGAAGGCTAGACCGTCCCATTTCACAAGCCTCGCACTTCCGGCCTTGGCTGTCTTTAAGTACGCGGCCCTTGAGGAACGTTGAGGCTGCGTACTTTAAGGCTGCAGACCCTGAATTGACAAGTTACCCTGTAAGCCAAAAGCACAGGCTGCTCTGAACACACAATTTATCAGTTTTTTCAACTCTTAGAACTCTATGATGTCAGAGGCACAGAAGCCACACCCACCCACTACAAATAACAGGTTTTGATTCCTCAACACAGGAGTCTTCCATGAAAAGAGGCAGCTATGATGGACTTCCAGGTGAAAGAGAATGAGGCGGAGCTAACAAGCAACGGGTGCCGTTGATGGAAACAGCCAAACAGAAGGTTTGCACAAGGGCACGTTTCAGATAGAGGGTAAAGTGGGGAACTGGAGACATGAAGTTGTGAGCTGGGTAGTGTAGTGGTAAGACTACACACCTTTGGAGTGGGAGTCAGCAGTATATGTGTATATGTGTATATATACGAGGCCATGACGTCTCCAGAAACATCCAACCAGGGGGGCTATTAAGGAAAACAAAGCAGAGTTGAAGTAGCTATGCTCATTTTTACATACAGTCTGTGGTATTTAACGTGCTAACAGTGTTAAACCACGATGGAACAGCGTCCATGTTCAGCTCACAGGGTAAATACAGCGTCATACCTGTTTTGCATCCACCATGTCCCTGATTTCATCCAAGGCGCAGCCGCTGGGTGCAAAGAATCCCCAGCGGTAATGAACTCCTTTCATCAGGTGCTGCACGAAAACAGCAGAAAAAAAATGAATCAGCACAAACACAGAACACTGAAATACTTTAATACATTTAAAATAAAAGACAATCATAATGTAAAGATATATTTCAAAAAACAGAAACATGATGACTTATTTTGATATTGTTGTTGTCTTTATGAAACTTTTAATTTAAATCGTGTTCCCACTGACATATTTTCTAGTTCCATTTATTTTTAATATTTGTGCTGATTCAATCTCATCAAACACAAAGGGAGAAATATATTTGATGTAATGACCAAAATATGAATAAATAAAACATAAAAACGTGGATAAGGACAGATTCGCACCAGTTTTGGTTTGTTTGTTTTTAAAGCTCGTGTTGCTTAAATACATCTGTGAGTCGATAACAACCCACAAAACTCAAGTCACCGAACACCCAAACTATGAATCAGCTGCTGGAAAACCTGCGCCGTCACAGATCTGAGTTCAGATTACACAGATTCTGTAGGCGCAAAATAATAAGACAATGCTGTGAATCAAATCGTCTGATATTCAACAAACAGTGTGTGACAACAGCAGATGACCCCATTTCAACCCTTACACTTCTGTGGAAATGGAAACAGTCACTGTGTGGTTATATGCAGGATGAAGGTGGTAAAGAAGGCCAGGGTGTGTGTGTGTGTGTGTTCTGTTGTGTGTGTGTTGTGTGTGTGTGGGCTTGGGTGTGTGTGTGTGTGTGTGTTGTGTGAGAGAGAGCCAGGAGGGGTGGGGGGGATTGGAAACAGTCTCTGTGTTAAAGGAAGCGAAAACACAAAGTGCACAAACACACAGTTTCATTTGTTTCCTGTAGATTTGCTCCAGGTATACCTCCATCCTGCTTCACCTTCAAATCTTCAAAACTGATGTTATTCTGGAATAAGTTAGCGTGAGTAGAATCTGTGCCAACCTGCAACCCCCACAGTCTGACATCAACTCAGTAACTTTACATTTAACAAGAAAAACAATGGAAGGTTTGTGGGGCAGTCCCGCCCTGTTACCGCCATCCACGCTCTTCTTCCGCCTCCTTCCTGATGCAAAGATTAAATTTACTTTAAAATGAGAAACCAGAACAAACACGACACTGATAGAAAATTTTGAAAAATGACAATAAATTTGTGGTTTTTCCCTTTTTTGGCAAATTAACTCGAGTCTTATAAACAACAACTGTATACAAGAGATGGATACGGCCACTGTGACCCAGCTGTGCCTTTTGCAGTCAAGCTACCATAACAGGAGCCAGAGTCCTGAGTTACCAGCCTCTTGGATGGTCTGTTAGCACAACAACGTCACAGCTGCCACAGTATTAGTCACACAACTGCATAAAAACATGCAAACAGCACAAATACAGTCCAGAGGTGCAGATCCGGGTCTGCAATAGCTGAGGTGAAGCTGAGCAGACTGCTAGCATGTATAGCATCCACCTGTCAGTCAAAGAGGCCACACCCCCAAAATACTGCAAATCTTAAGTCTTAATAAAGTTTTAAACGGGTGCATTACAAAAACATCCTACAGAGACTTTCTGTATCAGGCCGTAAACAGGCCGAACCTCACTGCTGGAGCCTCTAGTGGATCTCAGAGGAACTGCAGCTTCTTTTTCTTTTTTCTTAATTCGTAAACATTTATGATCGGGAACAAAACAGAGCTGACAATATTTCAGCCTTGAACATGACACTTAGAAACCTGTAAAAACAAAACAAAACAAAACAAAAAGATTCCTTTGTTTGAAAAAGCCAACGATGAACGTTTGGACGCCTGGAACGAGCTGAACATGAACCTCTTCTGTCCTGAATGCCAGCATCTTGTTCTCGCTCAGTTTTGGTTTCATTTCAGCCTCTTTCTCTTTTGTCTTTTAGTCCATGAGTCATTCCTGATTAAACTCTCCTCCCTGCTTCAAAGTTGTGCTGATTGCTTAACTCTAAGAGCTTTTCATAAATCAGGATCAGAGCTGCAGGTCGCAGATGAGCTAAAAAACATCCTTAAACACTAAATGCACCACGAATTATCATTCGATGTGAATTTGATATTGCAAAATCATTAGTGCGCAGTTACCCGTGTGTGTAACTACATGCAGAATTTGGTTGCTACTACAAACTTTGTATTGGGGAATTTCAGTTACAGTGGTTTATGCCGCCGTGGAAAATGAGACTAACCTGAAACTCTGAACTACTTTTGAAGTTACCCACACTTGCCTGACCTCAGACGATGTTTCAGATACAAATACTTTCCTTTTTAATTTGAAAAAATTTGACACGAATCCTCTCTACACATGCAGCACATGGTACTGCTGTTTATTTTCCATTCCCCACCTACACTGAGCCCACAGGTTTCTGGACAATTATTCATTTTTATGTAATTTCCACAAGAATGACTAGTTTGACAGAACTGCAGCTATTTTTACAAACAGCTCCCCATTTTGAGACGCTCAAAAGTAAGTGGACAACTGACTGACGAGCAGTTTCAGGACCGGGCGAGGCCTAAACCTTTGCTAGTTAATGATAATAAAAGCAAACTATTTTTGAAGTTGACTCAAAGTGTTGAACTTATATTTGGTAAGTGTTCGCTCAGACTGAAGCGAAGATCCAAAGATGTCACTGCTGAAATCAACAGTCTGGGACATGTTTTAACTGTACATATAAATAACAGCCTGAGACAAATGAAGTGTATGATGACAGAATCATTTCCATGATTTACACAAACATCACCACATCGAATCAGGTCAAGAACGCACTGAAGGACGTAGGCGTTATTTTTTCATGTCAACAATAAAGAGACGGCTCCATAAATGGAAATATTGAGTTACGACCACAGTGCGCAGCCACTGGTTACGCTAAAGAGCAGGAAGGCCACATTATGCTTCAAATACATTTATGTGCAGGGTTCAGGAAACCAGTTTGGAAAGATTAAACCCAGATGAAGTTAGACCAGAATGATAGAAGCAGGATGAGTGTGATGTGTTCGAGGCTGTACTCTCTGCTCAGATTCATACACAGCTCCACAGCAGGTGGATACGATACTACAAAAACAACCCAAGAAATGAGAGATTCTACAGCGAGCAAGTCAGTCACCGGATCTCAACCTAACAGAGAAGCTTATCAGTGCCTGAATCCAACACTGAAGGCAGAGAGACCCACCGGCAGGTCTGCAGAGCATTGTGGAAACACCGAATCAGACAGTGCCCGTGACTTCTACACTTCATTTGCTGACAGCAAATGAAGTTCATGCTGCTAAACTTGAATTAAAGTTTCCATTTCAATCATATATTTATTTATTACTGAATTGAAAAAAAGAAAAAGATGTGGCTTAATGTGTAACCGCTCATATTTCCACAAAGACTGAAGGGTGTATTGTTCTAAAACTCTAGATTATCTCCTTGCATCTTGATTCTGCATCCTTTGCTGTGCAGAGCCGAGCACAGCTGTGGATTCTGTGGTCAGGCGAGTGCACTGCATGCAAAGTGCAGGCTGTTACTATAACACCCACAGAGGATGTGAGTGCTTGTGCGTGCGTCTGTGTATAGGTGGAAGATGTCATCTGCTCCGACAGAGAGTTTAGGAGTTCAGGAATGTTTTCTTTATCTGCCTTGCAGCAGGGGGCGGGGCCTCAGCCACCAGAAAGTAACCTGCTGCATTTTCACATTTTTTCCACCTGTTTCTTCAGGTACCATGTCTGATTTTTAGGGACCTGGAAGAAATGCGCAGAGTATAAAAGGAACACAAACCTAAATTTATCTGCAGAAAGTCCACAACTGCACATATTATGACACAAGTCACAGCTACTACTGGAATAAATCTGTTCTAATTCTAACTTAGATTCCATACTTGGCAATTGGGAGAGAAAAAATATATTATTTTGTAAGAACAACTCGGCAGACAGTCAAAAATGGAACGTAAAGGACAAAGTTAAACATCTGTATGAATTATTGTGTGGATTTGTTCATTAATAGCCAAACATTAGTCCCGTGTCTGGCCCAGGAGCTCCTCCCAACAAGGCATGTCCAAAACAGCATCTGGATCAGATGCCAAACAACCTCGGCTCTTCACCATCAGCTCTCACAGAGGAGCTCGATCGTCTTCCTTCGCTCTACCGCAGGTTGCAGTCACATGGTGAGAATAGCCGTGTAGAACAACCACAACATCAGCACCTTCAGGGTCATCACAGCGTGCAACACTGCACCTCGCACTCCTGAAACACAGACTCCTGCATTCAGGGCAGAAATTCCTCCCCAACCCAGAGTGAGCACTCCACCCTTTTTCTGGTGGAGAATCATGACCTTAAACTTCAAGGTGCAACTTTTCATCCCTGCAAACTACCACGAGATTCTGAGACCACTGCACCTACAACCTTTGCTCATGAACATTATGAACAGAACTCCAAGGGCAGGCGTGGTGGAGTACAAACCCCACCAGGAACAAGGGTAGTGATACGAGCCAACCTTCCACTATAGCTGTACCCAAACCCAGGTGTTAAAATTGAAAATAAACACCACTGAATGTGTCTGTCGCTGGTTTAATATTCCGACCCTACAACCGAGAAAACAAAGTGTAAAAAACCTCCTGTTTCTATGAAAGTTAGAAAACTAAACAACTCCATCTAAGCTTACTTTTAAGGCCTTGCTGGCCACTGTAGCGGCGGACTGCATCATGCCGTCAGCTACACCCAGCCTGTCGGTGTTCTGCATGAACGGCGTCACCAGGGTGACGTACTTGGCGCCGCTCCACGGCTTCAGCAGCTTCAACGCCCAACTCTCCGTGTCACCCCCGACATTATCCAGGATCAGGTCGAACCTTAAAGATAACAAAGTAAATCAGACCAAGATGACAAACGGAGGCAGAGATTCAGTCGGAGCGAGGCCTGCTTACTTCTCCAGAGCGCTGAGCGGCTCCTCGACGGGCCCAGCGGTGTAGTCCACCACGTGGTCCGCCCCGAGCCCCCTTAAGAACTGCTCGGCATTCTGGGAGCAGGTAACGGTCACGTGGGCGCCCCACGCCTTCACCATCTGAGCAGGAACAACACCAGACTTGTATACAAGTTTCATTTCGGTTAAATCAAATGTTTAGTTTTTCATTTTAACCATGATGAAGAAAAAATGTAAGAATTTGTTCTTTTTAAGCTAAAGAAGTGCAGTTGTTTTTTTTTCTTTAATATTTAAAGAGAGATGGTGTTGAAGCTGATTTTAAGGATATTTTACATGTTTAGCTTTAATGTGTTTTTACCTAGTGGAAAAACTCCGGCTGTTTTTTAACGGTTTACGTCTGCGATCAGACGTCAGAGTTAACTGTGCTTAAATCAAATATTAAATGTTTCCCAGAGACCAGGTGAGCGTCTAACCTGTGAGCGTTTTTCAGATCAAACGTTACTTCATTGTGACATGTCGAGTGTTTAGGTGACCACAAGTGGTCATTATTGTCCAGCTTTTCATGCGTACCTGTACAGCAAACGTTCCCACTCCTCCAGATCCTCCAAGGATCAAAATCCTGCAACAGAAAAGCCAAAACAATGAAGGAGACAACCGAAGCAATCACCTGGTCAACTGAAGGGAAACCCGGCGACTTTTCCCCCCAAAAAAGAAAAAAACAACTACAAGGAAAAAAACGTATTTTTTCTCCTTTCAGCTTGCAGGTACTTTCAAAATAAGAGTGAGAAAACTGTCTTTTATCAAACCGATTAATAAAGGCAAACATTAAAAAGCAGCTGGTTGTGTTGGTCGGAGGCAACTGTTATACAGGTGTGTTAATGTTAGCAGGTAAGCTAACATTAAGCAGAAGAAACCTTTGGTCAAATAGAAACAAAGCTGCGATGGGATAAAGTCAATTCAATGCAGCTAATATGAGAAATATAAGACAATAATTCTAAATTACTGCATGTATCTGCATCATGTATTAAAACAGGACTTTATTTACCTGAAGTTAAAAAATACTCTCCATGCTTCCATGTTGTGTAACATGAGATCCGAGGTTCAATCCTGCTGCTCGTATTTGTATTGTATTTCTAAGTTGGTGGTTTTTGTCCTCGTGATTGTCACATGAGGGTTTCAGGTAAGTGTCAGCAGGTGCCTGGTGGATGTGGCCATCACTCAGTCACCTGTGTTGCACTGTTGGTACTTGGTACACGAAGCAGCGCAGGCACTGATACAGCTGTTTATTATAGCTCAATCTGCACTGTCCACAACGCTTTGACTTTTCTCCATTCAGCAGTTGCTCGTGTGTTTTTCATCCCGTCTTCCTCCCCTCACCCCCAACAAAGGCCTCTTTGGTGAAACAAGCGTCAGGTTAGTTACATCGCTGTAGCTGGTTTATTGGTATGTTTCCGGTGGCTCATTTTATTTACACTGAGACTGATGTGGGGTAAGGACATTTTTCCCTCTGTTTTGTCTTGCAGGTAAATTAGTGCAAATTCTAAACACACTGGTCAGGGCTCATTACCCAGTCCAATCTCAGGACTTAATAAAAAATATCTTTATAATTATCAGGTTCTAAGATGAGGTTAGTACAACCTCAGATGAGCCACAGCACCTGACAGATTAAACCGTGTCGTTATTTATGCCACAAAAAGCACAGATGCAGAAGCAGTTTGTGAGGAATGAAGTAATATTTGATGAAATGGCTAAATGTTATTAACTAATCATTAGGGTGGCGGTGGCATGACTTTGGCCTCGTCTGATTGGTCAATTAATCAAATAAATTGTTTCACTCATCATATTATTTGCATCTAGAGTTTACGAGGCTACTTTTAGATCCCGCCTTAATAAGCGAGCTAAAAGGGGCTCAGGAGGAACAGTTGGCGAGCTTCACTGGGATGGATTAAACTTTCCATGTCCTCACCTCTTGTTGGCACAGTTGTCCTTTCTCAGACCGCCAGTATTAACCAGCGCTGACCAGGCGGTGGTTGCCACGTAGGGAATGGCAGCAGCCTCGATATGGCTCAGACACTTTGGTTTGTGGGACACCTAAACAGGACAAACAGTAATACAGGGAGTGCAGAATTATTAGGCAAATGAGTATTTTGTCCACATCATCCTCTTCATGCATGTTGTCTTACTCCAAGCTGTATGGGCTCGAAAGCCTACTACCAATTAAGCATATTAGGTGATGTGCATCTCTGTAATGAGAAGGGGTGTGGTCTAATGACATCAACACCCTATATCAGGTGTGCATAATTATTAGGCAACTTCCTTTCCTTTGGCAAAATGGGTCAAAAGAAGGACTTGACAGGCTCAGAAAAGTCAAAAATAGTGAGATATCTTGCAGAGGGATGCAGCAGTCTCAAAATTGCAAAGCTTCTGAAGCGTGATCATCGAACAATCAAGCGTTTCATTCAAAATAGTCAACAGGGTCGCAAGAAGCGTGTGGAAAAACCAAGGCGCAAAATAACTGCCCATGAACTGAGAAAAGTCAAGCGTGCAGCTGCCAAGATGCCACTTGCCACCAGTTTGGCCATATTTCAGAGCTACAACATCACTGGAGTGCCCAAAAGCACAAGGTGTGCAATACTCAGAGACATGGCCAAGGTAAGAAAGGCTGAAAGACGACCACCACTGAACAAGACACACAAGCTGAAACGTCAAGACTGGGCCAAGAAATATCTCAAGACTGGTTTTTCTAAGGTTTTATGGACTGATGAAATGAGAATGAGTCTTGATGGGCCAGATGGATGGGCCCGTGGCTGGATTGGTAAAGGGCAGAGAGCTCCAGTCCGACTCAGACGCCAGTAAGGTGGAGGTGGAGTACTGGTTTGGGCTGGTATCATCAAAGATGAGCTTGTGGGGCCTTTTCAGGTCGAGGATGGAGTCAAGCTCAACTCCCAGTCCTACTGCCAGTTTCTGGAAGACACCATCTTCAAGCAGTGGTACAGGAAGAAGTCTGCATCCTTCAAGAAAAACATGATTTTCATGCAGGACAATGCTCCATCACACGCGTCCAAGTACTCCACAGCGTGGCTGGCAAGAAAGGGTATAAAAGAAGAAAAACTAATGACATGGCCTCCTTGTTCACCTGATCTGAACCCCATTGAGAACCTGTGGTCCATCATCAAATGTGAGATTTACAAGGAGGGAAAACAGTACACCTCTCTGAACAGTGTCTGGGAGGCTGTGGTTGCTGCTGCACGCAATGTTGATGGTGAACAGATCAAAACACTGACAGAATCCATGGATGGCAGGCTTTTGAGTGTCCTTGCAAAGAAAGGTGGCTATATTGGTCGCTGATTTGTTTTTGTTTTGTTTTTGAATGTCAGAAATGTATATTTGTGAATGTGGAGATGTTATATTGGTTTCACTGGTAAAAATAAATAATTGAAATGGGTATATATTTGTTTTTTGTTAAGTTGCCTAATAATTATGCACAGTAATAGTCACCTGCACACACAGATATCCCCCTAAAATAGCTAAAACTAAAAACAAACTAAAAACTACTTCCAAAAACATTCAGCTTTGATATTAATGAGTTTTTTGGGTTCATTGAGAACATGGTTGTTGTTCAAGAATAAAATTATTCCTCAAAAATACAACTTGCCTAATAATTCTGCACTCCCTGTAATAGCAGCAGTTAATAAGAGCAGCAGTTTCCTGTAGTCATCATGAAAACAGCTCATCTCTACATTTTGGAGGAAGTGAAGCAGTAAAAAGGAGTATTGGTGTCATTCAAAATAATTAAGGTGGGGTTGACTGGGCTAAAAAAAAGTCAGGATTACAGTATTAAAATATATTACAGGGGAAAAAAGGAAATTTGATTTTAAAAAAAACCCATCACAGTTCATAGCTTATCGTCTACACAGTGACAAATGGGACCTTGAACTTGAGTAGGATTCAGATTAAGACCAATCAGAGATCGTTATGTAAAATCTGACTGAGTTATAGTTCTTGTGAACTGTGACAGGACAAACAGACAGAGGCTCAGTAAACCTTCACCTGTATGAGCTAAAAACCCAGAACATTTACAAGAAAATAGACTCAGAGTAAATTAAACTTTAAAAAAGTAGAAGCCCCTCCAAGTATCGCTACCTTATCGTGGTGCAGGGGTTTGTGTGTCCCAGGGATTCCAGGGGCTACGTTGTCTGGGGGCTTTTGCCCCCCGGTAGGGTCTCCCATGGCAAATTGGTCCTGGGTGAGGGACCACACAAAGAGCGATTCAGAAGACCACTATGACAAGACCATCGAGGGAACAGTTCATCCTGCCCGGGACAGGGTTGGGGAGCCCCGGGTTTACCGCTGAACCCGAGCGGTGTTTTGTTGTTGGACTTCTGTGCAAACCACAGTTTGGCCATAACGAACACCATGTTCAAACATAAGAGTGTCCATAAGTGCATGTAGCACCAGGATGCTCTAGGCCAGTAGTTCCCAAACTACCGTACGCGTACCCTCGGGGGTACGCAAGTGGCTGTAGGGGGTACGCGTGGGTTGGGGTTGGAGTGGGGATCAAAAGTTTTAAAAGCCGAAATTTGCGCTAATGCAGTTTTATTTGCCTGTCAAATACATGACTATATACCACCCTCTGGTGTTCAGCAAAAAAATAGCTCTGACAAAATACATGGGCGTGATTTGCCCAAATGACTGACACCTAACAGTTGAAGTTGCCTCCAAGCATTCAGTGCAGCGCGAAAATGGACAAGTGGTTAACAAGAAAAAAAGGCCCTACCACAGAGACACCGGCCACAACAACCAATAAGCTCATATCTGAAGATGCATTTTCCAGTGACCGCACAGGTGATTGTTCAACAACAATGTGTTCGTCAGATTTGGATGCTAGCAGTGCTAGCAGGGATGTATCTGTGGTTACTAGCCAAGTGGCTAACATAGCTGGAGCCAGCCATGTGGAAAGTGATGAAGTGTCTGATGCAGAGCGTCAAAGTGGGAGAAAGCATGACAGCTCGGACTGTAACACAACCTCATCAAAGAAGCGCAAATATGATGACAATTATATTTCGCTGGGGTTTACGTGTATAAATATTGGTGGATTTCCCCAGCCACAGTGTGTTATTTGTGCAAAAGTATTGTCTCAGAACTCAATGAAACCTTCACTTTTGCGCAGACATTTAGAGACAAATCATCCCCATTTGAAAAATAAACCAAGGGAATATTTTGAGCGACAGCTAAAATCACTTTCAACAAGTAAAACCTGCATTCAGGTGCCAGATCTTATGAATAAAAACAGACTACAAGCATCGTACATGGTCAGTTACAGAGTGGCTAAAAACAACAAACCCCACACTATTGTGGAGGACCTCATTCTCCCTGCTGCTTTAGATATGGTAGGGACAATGTTGGGGGAAAAGGCAAAAAAGACGATACAGTCCATTCCATCATCAAACAATACTGTCTCACGGCGCATCAATGCAATGTCAGAAAATGTTTTACAGCAGCTACTTCTGCGCATACGCCACAGTGAATGTTATGCAATACAGCTAGATGAGTCCACGGATGTGGCTGGCCTGGCGCATCTTCTCGTATATGTGCGCTACATTCATGAAGGAACCATCAAGGAGGACATGCTGTTCTGTAAACCACTGGAACAAAGGACAACTGCCGCAGATATTTTTCAAAAGCTGGACACATTCATGAACACACATGGACTCGTGTGGGACAGATGTGTTGGCATCTGTACTGATGGCGCACGGGCCATGACTGGGAGACACGGAGGTGTGGTTTCGCGTGTGCAAGCAGTCGCGCCAGATGCCTCCTGGGTACACTGCAGCATCCACCGAGAGGCTCTTGCTGCAAAGGGAATACCTGTCCGTTTGAAACATGTTTTGGACACGAGTGTAAAAATGGTTAACTTTGTGAAAGCCAGGCCGCTGAACTCCCGCTTATTTGCTGCGTTGTGCAATGAGATGGGCAGCGAGCATGAGACATTATTACTCCACACAGAGGTTCGCTGGCTATCTAGAGGGAAAGTGCTGACCCGTTTCTTTGAGTTGAGGGATGAACTTAAAGTTTTCTTCAGTAACCATCCCTTTGAGCTGTCTGAACATTTGCATGATGAAGAGTACCTTACCTGCCTGGCTTATCTGTGTGATATATTTTCTCGTCTGAACGAGCTCAATCTCGGATTACAAGGCGTTTCTGCAACTATATTCAATGTTCAAGATAAAGTTGAGGCCATGATAAAGAAGTTAAACCTTTGGAAGAACTGCTTGGATACAAACAACACTGAAGTCTTTCCTGTGCTGCATGATTTTCTGTGCTCTAATGATCTCACACTATCTAAAAGTGTAAAGCGCGAATGTAACGTGCACCTTGAGGAGCTGGCGGTGCAGTTACGCCGATACTTCCCAGAGACGGACGGCTCAAATGATTGGATACGTCACCCGTTCACCGCTGTGCCTACTTCGTTATCACCGTCTGACCAGGAGAGCCTAATTGAAATTGCCACAGATGGATCTCTAAAAGTTGAACACGCTCAAAAGAACCTGGCGGATTTCTGGATAGGGCTGCGCACTGAACAGCCCGCGCTGGCTAAGCGCGCTGTCAAGACTCTGATGCCTTTCGCCACCACATACTTATGCGAAAGGGGATTTTCTGCTTTAACAAACATGAAAACAAAATACAGAGCAAGACTTTGTGTGGAAAACGATTTAAGACTCAGCCTTTCCCAAATTGAGCCAAACATTGAAGAGCTGTGTGCCTCTGCTCAAGCACATCCATCACATTAAATAAAGTTCTGTTTAATGAAAGTTCATGGCCTTTATGCTCTCGACAAAAAAGTGAATTCTAATAAATCCTTTGATACACTGCTAGTATTAAGTAGTAAAGTTTGTTATTAAAACTCTGTCATTACTAAAAAATATTGATAAATTCATTTGGTGGTGAGAAATAATCGACTGTGCAGTATTTATTTTTATGCATGCGATATTGCAATGTATTTATAGACACTAATTAAGAGTCATTCGTAGCAGGGGGTATGCGGCTGAGGGTGACATGTCTCAAGGGGTACGTGGCTGGAAAAAGTTTGGGAAGCACTGCTCTAGGCCACAGGTCGATGATGGATTTTAATCGTATCACCAGACCTGAGGTCATATGTTTTGGGACACTTGGGTAAAGAGATAGGCTGAGCTGTCAACTGCTCACCACCTGGTGGTGAGTTGGATCAGGTGAGGGAGGACGCTGGACAGACCTGGGGTATGCTGGGAAAGGCTAGCAGAGGCTCCAGTCTTTGAGAACTTCAACACACACCTCAGGCAGAGCTTCAACAGCATTCCAAGACTGGGGACATTGAGTCCAAATGGACCGTGTTCAGCACCTCCATTGCTGAAGCCGCTGCACTAAGCTGCGCCCGCAAGGTGGTTGGTGCCTGTCGTGGTAGACAACAGAGGTGAGGGGAGTCAACGAGCTCAGGCTTGGTTAGCCTGTGGGACTCTGGAGGCAGCTGGTAGGTACCGACAGGCTAAGCAGAAGGTGGCTCGGGCAGTGCCTGAAGCAAAAACTCGGGTGTGGGAGGAGTTCGGAGAGGCCATGGAAAAAGCAACCCGTCATGTGACTCAGGAGGGGAAAATGGTGTTCTACCTGCACTGTGTATAGTGCGGGTGGAGTTCTGCTGACTTCGACTGAGAAGTCGGGCAGTGGAAGGACTACTTCGAGGACCTCCTCAATCCCACTGACACATCTTCCGTGGTGGAAGCAGAGTCTGGGGATGACCTGCCAATCTCTGGGGGCGAGGTCACTGAAGCAGTTAAACAACTCCTTGGTGGCAGAGCCCCTGGTGTGGACGAGGTCCACACAGAGTTCCTGAAGGCTCTGGATGTTGTAGGACTGTCTTGGTTGACACGCCTCTACAATTTTGCGTGGAGATCAGGGGCAGTACCCCTGGATTGGCAGACCGGGGTGGTGGTCCCCATCTTTAAGAAAGGGGACCGGAGGGTGTGTTCCAACTACAGGGGAATCACACGCCTCAGCCTCCCTGGGAAAGTCTATGCCAGGGTGCTGGA